AAATATATAAATTTCTTAAAGTGTGAATGCTCTTGAACTAAAGTAATAATTACCAACTTAGTAAGAGTTTTGTTAAGTGGTAAAACTTTCTTCCTTGATATTCATTACTAATTCCTGAATGATAACTAAGTATTTCAATTAATAGTTCCTAGCAGAGGTAGAATTACAACACGGTTTGGGAAATGCTGAGTAGATAGAGTCCCACAGTCTGGATACTAATAATACAGATGATGTAACTCAGTCATTAACCCCTGAGTATGTATTCCCATAACTTGATTATGATAGATGGCATTTTTTTTTATTGTGGTAGAATAAATATAAAATTTGCCATCTTAGCCATTTTTAAGCATATAGTTCTGTAATGTTAACTTTACTGCTGTGCAGCCAATCTCTGGAAACTCTTCATCTTGCAAAACTGAACTCCTTACCCGTTAAACAACAATTCCCATTCCCTCTTCCTCCAGCCCCTGAAAACCACCAGTAATTTGAATTTGACTACTCTGGGTACCTTATGTAAGTGGAATCATACAGTATTTGTCTTTTTGCGAACGGCTTATTTCACTTAGCATAATGTCTTTCTTCAAGGTTCATCCATGTTGTAAACATGTATCAGAATTTCATTCCTTTTGAATAAGGGTAAATAATATTCTACCCTATGGATATATGCCACGTTTTGTTTATCTGTGCCTATATCAATAGAAATTTGGGTTGTTTGTACCTTTTGACTATTGTGAATAACGCTGCTGTGAACATGGGTTTGTGATTGAACATATCTGTTCAAGTCCTTGCTTTTAGTTCTTTTGGGCATATACTCTGATGTAGAATTGCTGGATAATATGGTAATTTTATTTTTAATTTTTTGAGGAACTACCATGTATGATCATGATTGTATTTTGAAGTTAGTGTGATCTAACCCTAGTTTATTTTCCAACAGGTTGTAACCCCCTTTACATCAGGCCAGGCAGGTGACTCATGCCTGTAATCTCATCACTTTTGGGGAGGTCAAGGTGGGAGGATTGCTTGAGCCCAGGAGTTTGAAACCAGCCTGGTTAACATAATGAGATCCTGTCTCTTAAAAAAATATGCCGAGTGTGGTGGTACACTCTGGTAGTCCTAGCTACCTGGGAGGCTGAGATGGGAGGATTGCTGGAGTCCAGGAGGTCGTGGCTGCAGTGATCCATGACTGTGCCACTGCAGTCCAGTCTGGGTGACAGAGCAAGACCTTGTCTCAAAAGAAAAAAAAATTACTATTAAATGTCCAAGGTGGTCACATGCTTTTAATAAGAAAACAAGAATGTTTTTGTACAGAGTATATCCTGAGCAGATAATGAGAAGTTTTTGGGTTTCAGATTGAGCGTCAGTTTATCGTAGCTTGTTTCCTTTGCTTAAAAACCAGTTTGTAATGGAAAGAGTATTGTGCTGATGGGTGTAAAGGTAGATGAACACAATAGGGCGTTTAGATCTTTAAATGGATTAAAGTAATATTAATTAAAAGTTTTCTGAAAAGGTTTTTCTTAAAATTTGGAATTGTTCATATATTTCAGTATGGTATTCTCAATAAAATTTGCTTACAAGATTATTTTAGTAGTTTAGCTAAAAGACTAGGTGGTGATATTTTAAAATGTGCTGTTAAACCCTTTGGGTTTGTAAGTTTCAGTGCTGAAACTGATAATTTAATAATTTGAGGTAGAAATATTTCTAAAACAGAATACATGATTCTCTGGCTTTCATTTAATATAACCTTGATGATCAAGGTTTATTTAAAAAATCAATGTTACATGGTGTCATATTCTTTTAAGATGCATAGTAAGGCTGTGTGATCTGTTACCAATAGTGAAATGCCTAACATTGGATATTTCGAGTTCTTGTCTTGCTTTTCTCTTTTTCCCAATAGCTTTTTTTTTTCCCTAAACTGCCAGTCAGCCTGCTTATAATAGCTTCATTTCCCAATTAAAGTATTTTTAATCTACTATGGCTCTGAAACTAACCAGGCTTGTTGAGTAAAATAGAATAAATGTATTCTCGGCTGGGCGCGGTGGCTCAAGCCTATAATCCCAGCACTTTGGGAGGCCAAGACGGGCGGATCACGAGGTCAGGAGATCGAGACCATCCTGGCTAACACGGTGAAACCCCGTCTCTACTAAAAGATACAAAAAAAAAAAAAACCAAACTAGCTGGCCGTGGCAGCGGGCGCCTGTAGTCCCAGCTACTCCGGAGGCTGAGGCAGGAGAGTGGCGTAAACCCAGGAGGCGGAGCTTGCAGTGAGCTGAGATCCGGCCACAGCACTCCAGCCTGGGCAGCAGAGCGAGACTCCGTCTCAAAAAAAAAAAAAAAAGTATTCTCAGGTAAAGATTTCACTCATCATTTTGCCTGTCAATATCATGAGAAACGTTATTATATGTATTGGCTTCTTAAGAGTGCTTACTGCATACTCTCTGATTTCAGCCTATGTTCTGAGTAGATGGTTCATGTTTTATTTCATGAGAACTTATTGTTTCTCATTATAACATGTAGAATTATACTCCTGAACCCCTCTCCCCTTTTATTAGGTAATAGGTAGTAGAAGATAACAGAATAATCGAGTTATCATTGCCAAATTATACATGATTTAGAAAGTATAAATTACTTCTACTTTTTTTCCCCTCCAGGTATTTAACGAGCAGGGTTAACATGTCTGACAGGTTGTCTGAATCTGAAACCTTAGCTACAAACTCTACTGTTAGCTGATTCATGGAAGCAGTAAATTGGTGTAGGCTGTTAGCTATTATAAAACAGGAAAAGAAGGTTATGAGATTTTTGGTTCCATTACATTTTTGGCCTTTGGAAAATTGTGTTCTATCTTAAAATATTTGTCATTAAAAATTCTAAAAAATATATCAAGACCTGCCCCGTTTTATCTTTTCCCATTATTTTCTTCAACATTTCATAATTTTGGATTTTTGTTTTTCAAAGATGAGTGAGAAACTTTTGTTCCTTATCACTGATTTGTAGTTATTTAAGCATACTCAGTGTTTCAGAGATTGTTGCTGGGAGGCCTAAATCTGGGAGCTAGAGTAACCTGGCACAGAATCAGAATTCACTGTCAGCAGATTCAACTACTTTCTCATCTTCCTTCTTTGTATCTACAGACTTAAAAGCTATCTGGGGCCGGGCACGGTGGCTCACGCCTGTAATCCCAGCACTTTGGGAGGCCGAGGCAGGCGGATCACGAGGTCAGGAGATCAAGACCATCCTGGCTAACACGGTGAAACCCCGTCTCTACTAAAAAAAAAAAATGCGAAAAATTAGCCAGGCGTGGCGGCGGGCGCCTGTAGTCCCAGCTACTCAGGAGGCTGAGGCAGGAGAATGGCGTGAACCCGGGAGGCGGAGGTTGCAGTGAGCCGAGATCGCGCCACTGCACTCCAGCCTGGGCGACTGAGGGAGACTCCGTCTCAAAAAAAAAAAAAAAAACTATCTGGATTTTAGTTACTTGATTGAATTTTTGAAGTATATAAAGGATTCCTGTTTTATCTCCCAATTTAATCCCCCATTAGGTTATCTGTCCTGTTTTCCTTTTGCTCAGTTATATCCTATGGGACTCATAGATAAACAAAAGTATTTTTCCTCTTCTTTTACTTTTCAAGAGGGGAATATTGTCAGAAGGATAGTCAAGTACCAGAAATACTCATTTTGTCTTTTGTTTGTTCACTTTGCACTTCACACCATATATACTTTTTTTGGTGCTCCTTCCCATAACAGACTTAACTGACCCATTAATAGCAGCTCTGGGGCAAGCATGCCTACCTAGTAACATAAAGACTTCATCAGGGCCGGCTACACTTGGGGATATGCTGTTAGTTCATGACATGGAGCAACTAACAGCTGTTGAGATATAAAAAGGAAATAGGCAATTTAGATGATGTGCCTTATTTTAGTGTTAAATGAGCCTGTGTGTTTGGCTGTTGATGTAGCACGTACAGATCTCTAAAAACTGACTGCTGGGATGCAGCCATGGGAATCCAAATCAGTGTTTTCTTTCTGATTAAAACTAGATGCACACATTTTTAGAAGTCTCACTTGACAACCTCTGAAATATTTAATTTTGGATTTTGTTCCTCTACAGCAGAGTTTTGAGGCTTGTAGTTGAGTGCATTGCTTTGCTTTAACATGTGTTAATCCAGTTGGATTTGCTGCTGTGTGTTCCCAAGAATATACATATACAAACTCACACATACTCTATTAGTTTTTCATTATGATTTCTGTATATCATGCAATGGATGTATCTTGTCAAAGAGACTGTCTTTCTTGTAAATTAAGCTTACAGTTATTAAATGAGAACATTTGAGACAGTAATGCCGTCTGACAATATTGAAAGTAGGGCCGAGCGCGGTGGCTCATGCCTGAAATCCCGGCACTTTGAGAGACCGAGGAGGGCGGATCACTTGAGGCCAGGAGTTTGAGATCAGCCTGGCCAACATGGTGAAACCCTGTCTCTACTAAAAAATTAGCTGGGCCTGGTGGTGCACACCTGTAATCCCAGCTACTCAGGAGGCTGAGGCATGAGAATTGCTTGAACCCAGGAGGCAGGGGTTGCAGTGAGCAGAGATCGTGCTACTGCACTCCAGCCTGGGTGACACAGTGACGACTCCATCTCAAAAAAAAAAAAAAAAAGTGGCCACCCAGTCTGCAGAAAGATAAAGTCAGTAAAAGTTACCTATGTATATAGGTTTGAAAAGGTCTACTGTTCTCAGCTTCATTTACACACACAGGTATGGTAAATGGTATGTCTCTATTCCTCTGAATACTGCTTTTTATTTCAAGAACACCACACTGTTAGTCCATAGTGAAATACTCTGCAGAGTTTCAAACATGTTTATTTGAAAGTCTAATTAAATGATAACAGAGAGAAAATTTCCTGAAGTGTAATCTTCTTTTATACAGTCAGTATGTGCTTGATTGAATTAAGGAATTTATATTTGGTTTTACTTTCCTTAAAAGTTCCAAAATTATTTTTCCCCTAGGAAGATGAGAATGTGCCTACTGCTCCTGATCCTCCAAGTCAACACTTACGTGGGCATGGGACAGGCTTTTGCTTTGATTCCAGGTAGATTTTTCTTTCCTTTGTATAATTTGGGTTAATTTAGGCCAGTGGTTCTCAAAGGTGGTCCTTGGGAACTCATTAGAAATGCACATATGTAGGGCCTGGCCTAGCTGAACCAGAAACACCAACACTGGGCATAGGCCCAGCAATCTGTGTTTTAACGTGTCCTCTGACTGATTCTGATGCATGCAATCATTTGAGAACCAGTGCCATAAAAACTTAGCTATTAAACCAAATGCACTGGTGGGAAGTTAAGAGTTGTATTTATCCTTACAGTCTTACAAAAGGCATTTTCTGTTAAACGTGGAAGAATTCTTGGTACTAATAATTTCACATAATTGTGATTGGATTTAGAAGGTTTTAAGGGGAAAAGTTTTGTTAATCTAATTGTAAAACTAAATTTAGAGGCTCTATAAATGGGTTACACAATTGTCTACAGCAAGCATTTAGAAGCAGAGAAAGGTTTCTGGAGTAAAGACTTGTAAGGTAGGTTGTTTAGTATGAATATCAGCTAACTAGATAAATGGAACCTTGTCATATACGGACAAGTTACTGTTGTTCTACATTTATTAGAAATATGTAATTTTTTCATTTTTCTCTTTAAGCTTTGATGTTCACAAGAAGTGTCCCCTCTGTGAGTTAATGTTTCCTCCCAACTACGATCAGAGCAAATTTGAAGAACATGTTGAAAGTCACTGGAAGGTGTGCCCGATGTGCAGCGAGCAGTTCCCTCCTGACTATGACCAGCAGGTGTTTGAAAGGCATGTGCAGACCCATTTTGATCAGAATGTTCTAAATTTTGACTAGTTACTTTTTATTATGAGTTAAGACAGTTTAGCGGTAAAAAAAAAAAAAAAAAAAATCACCTAAAATAGACCACTGAGGAGACCATAGAGCGATTCCTTCATGCACCCTCTATTGCACTTTCTGACCAGGAGCTACTTTGAGTTCGGTGTTACTAGGATCAGGGTCAGTCTTTCGTTTATCAATAAATTTTAATCTGTTAATCTTACTTGCTTTAAAACAAAGTTCTTGTGTGTTATCTTTATTTATTCCCTAGTTTGCAGAATTGTCTGAATAAAGGATACAAGGATTATTTCAGTGTTACTGCACTGAAAAATGTGTATGTATTAGTGTGCTACATTATTTAGCAGAATATTCACAAGTTTCTGTTGACCTTGTTGATTGAGCATGACTACTAAATATTATGTAATAAAAAGCATTTATCATAACAGTCTTGTGAAGTAGTTCTTCAAATACAGAGAGTTCTATAATTTAGCCCATGAAATGATAGGTTTTTAATTTCCAGAAATAGAGCTGCATGTAGAATGAGATCACATGCTTTTTATATGTGAAATGTTGGTTTTAGCAATTAACAGAAGGCATATTTTGCTAATTTTATGACAAAATTTTAGAATAACCTGAATGATTATTTTTAAACTATCTTAAAGTTGTATGTATATATCTAATGGGAAAATGGAACAAGAGATGTCAATATTGTTTTCCTATTAAATGATCTCATAACAGGGGTGTTTGTGGCATAAAATCACAGAATATATATCAGTATCTTTTTTACATTTTCCTGATGAGAATATAAATTTGAAATATTCTCAGTAAGTGATTAAAAGTACAATGCATAAACCCAAATCAAAGTAATGTGTTTCTTCAGTTATGTCTCTGCTGTATAGAACTCTCACTAACATTAAAGAACGAGGACACATTTTCCAAGATCTATAATTTCATTGTTGTCACATTTATTTGTGAGTTTTTCATTAATCTAGCATCTTGAACATCTTTTTTTTGGTTTGGGCCTTTAAAATTCTTCTGAACTGTATTCCCTTTCCCTTTTATAATGTGCATGTGAATAATTTAAAGTACCAGCTTTTGATTTTGCTGCTTTTGTAGTTATCAAAATAGTTTACATTTGTTCTGAGCAAACTAAGCTATTGAAGATGTTAATGTAATATTTAGACTTGGGGGCATTTTGGGTTGCTATATGTGAACTGCAGCATATGTCACTTGTATTTGTTTGTGGAAGCAGAGTTTGTATATTGTTAGAATCCTTTAAAAAGTTTGAGTCTAGGGCAAACCAGTATTAGGCATTCGTATGCCAGCTGTTAGGACACAGCAGTCCTAGGAAGCAACAGCTTTGGAGACTCCAAGTTTCAGCTTCCTGACAGGTTATATGACGAGCAGAATATACTTAGGTAAAATATGTTCAACAATGGGAGCATTTTTGTTGCAGTTAATAATTATGGACCATGTTAATCCAAAAGTATCCTTTGAATATTACAGTAGTAGATGCTGTTGATCTTACTGGCCTAGAACTTATTTTAAAATAGTTTAAATCCAAGCTTGTTATTGATAGAAAAGTAATACAGGCTAATCTAAGCAAAAAATGTAAGGGAATAAAGTCTACGTGCATCAGCTGAACAGCCTTAGAATGAGGAACTGAATGGATATATTTATTAATTTCCATGGTAAACTTGATACTGGTTTTCATAATAGATACTAAGGGAAATAAAGAGCCATATTTATTTTTGGGTCAGAGGCAGTTTATTTTCAATGTGATTTCATTTACATTTATAAGCAGCTTTTCTTGACAGGAATTTTGATTAAATTGCCTTCAGTTCTAAAACAAACCTCTGTTGCTTTCAGACTTAATGTGCTCTGTCCCCAACAAAACATATGAAAATATAATTTAAAGCACAGTTTTCACAGACACAGTACAATACATTCACTATACACAGTATAACAAAATATTCCCATCCTTACCTGTTTAGTAATACTGTCACAATGAATAAGTAAATAGAAATTGGAATTTATCATTGAAAGAAATGTAACATGCACAATGACTATTTTATGACTGTTTAGCTGTTGAACTACTGATCCAGCCTGCAGTTTCTTGCACTAGAAGGAGCGAAGCTAAATAATAATTGCTGGCCTAAAAATTTTTTTTTGGTCGATTGTAGGTAGATATGAAATAGCCAAGTGGGGCCTTCTTATGCACCAACTAGTTGCGTCTCATATCTGGATCACCCTTTTAAACATAGGATAACACTGTATATGCAGGACCAAGGCCATACTTCAGATCTGAGGAAATTTTTAGAGGGCAGTGTATTTATAAATACTTTAAAATCCCTCATTATGAGAGATTCAGAACTTAATGAATACAGAGGTTTACTCATCTGGCTAACAGAATTGTCATCCTTTCAAAATGTTTGAAAATTGAGGAGGGACCCCTGCTTCCCAGCTATATGTTACGTAAGACTTTTCATCAAATGGGAACATGGGAAGAAACTTTTTAATAAGCAATTTGAGTTTGTTTTATGGGCAGTTAGCTATCTTGAAGCATTTTTTATTGCATAATTAGGCAACTGGTAAACTCTCATGTTTAAGGAATAGCACTTGGGAGAAAAGAACACTCAAGGCATGATGGTACTGTCGGTGAGGAAAAACTTCAGGAATGGTCCAGGTGTACGTTACTCTAACGGGTCAGATTAGTCACGCTTTTCTTTGACCACCTGCTGCAAGAAGCACTTAATTGTCAATAAGGCTCATTTTCATATTTCAGCAAAGTGTTTTATAAAGCTAAACAGACATTTCCAATGAGAACGCAGACCTCTCTACAATGTGATGAGAAAAGTGCCTTTTAAAAATAAGTCAAAAATGAACATGAAGAGGAGGCAACAGGGGTCTTAACAAAAATGTTCCTCTTTGAAACGTGCTTAGAATTTTAGTTCTGATTTGCAACCCACAGGTTTGGTAGGGCAGTGGTTGCAAGAATTGGCAACACATAAACATTAAATTGTTGGCAATAGAGAACTACAAAGTGCTTTAAAACTTCATCTGAAGATGAAGATATAACTAAATTTCACACACACAAAATTTGCACTTAAGTATTTCAAAGTGTTTCCTAACAGATTTCAGGGAAAAGTATTTCACTAAGTGGGTATCTTGGTCCGCAGATATCAATAGGCATAAATTGAATCCCTTGTATCCAGCAGGCACTCAATGAATGTGTATTAAATGAATGAATGAACTGAATAGACTATTTTGTACAAAATGCCATTTATAACACTAAAATGACTAGTAAGTCAGATGGCAAGATTTTCAGCTTTTTAAAGGGCAAAAGGATTTGCAAGATAATATAAAACACAGAAAGCACACCTTTTATGTATGTTATTTAAATATGAAAATATTTTTAGCATATTATGTTAAACATTCTTTCTTATTTATATTTCCATTACCTAAAGTCTTTCTACTCACAAATACTAACTCCATTATGTAAGGCATGGTAACCAGTTTGATAATGAAGGTATTATTTTGGTTTTGAACATATGTGAGTTGATGTGTTGAAAACTTCAATCACATTACAATCTTGAAAAAACATCTCAGTGCCAGCCCCTCCTCCCCCCAGTTGATACCACTGCAATACAATTCTACAATATGCAACATGCCCTCAATTTTATTTTGTTTTGGGGGAAATGTGCTGAAGAACCTAGAGCTTGTTTTGTTTAGCACCTTATATCAAAGTAATGAAAATGGGTATGATGATTACATGTGCAAATGTACAAAATCATTAACTCTACAAAGATACATCATTCCAAAATTACAGAAAAAATTTAAAGCATGCATTTAATTCTTTTTCTTTAAAGGGTTGCTGAATGCTTCCCCTGAAAAAAGGTGGCTGTTTTCAAAATCAGCAACTGCTGGTGAGGATTTCTTGGCACAGTTATGACCAGCATGTTATTGCTGCATCTTCCTGATGATCTCAGCCGACACCGGGGGATGGAAATTGATTGTGTGGTGCCGCAGGCCCTGAGCTGTCTTGTAACTCTTCCCACAGCGACATTTGAATGGTTTGCGGACACGAATCTGTGTTCTGTGACCATTCTTAGCGTGATATTTTATGCCATTCACATTCTGTGGAGAAGACGAAAATATTGCTTATTAGATGGATTCACAGAATGCCTGTCAAACTTGGGAAACCTCAGTTTGGGTCTGGACTGCAGTTCCTGGATGGCAGCTGTTTAGAGTGTAGTCTTTTGCAAGGACTCCAGTTGGGACCCTTAGGGACATTCTGGTGTGTCAATCATGGGCTGTACGGATGGCCACACACGCAGCTGACTCCAAATTTCAGATGTGCCTCAATTACTCTGAAAATGAAATTACTGATTTCTTCCAATTTTATATAAAATATATATTTAGGACTTAGACTGTATAAAGAAAATCCTCTGAATCTTTTCCACTCTAAATAAACAGTGAACAATCCTATACAAATGTCTTCAGCATGTCCAACAAAATATCTTTCTAAAGAAAAAAAACATTAGGGCACATCTCAAAAGTTTGACGTATAGAAATTTTTGATTTGAAAACTCAATTTACATCTTGCTTCTAGACAACTGTGTTAACAGTTCCCTACCATGCCTTAACCAGAGTTTTTGTCAATGTTCTGCTCGGCCCTAAGCCAGTATCTCTGATGCCACTGTGGGAGCTACTTGTTGCCCAAATCGTGTTGCCCCACTGTACAACTGTATATGTTTAATAAGCACCTGTGGTCAGACTGGGCCTTACCTTAAGTATTACATTCCAAACATACAATGAACTTTAAAAATTTAAGGTTATTTATATAATGTTAGTCACTAAGATTGGACTTCTTAGCATCTGGATACTAAAGTTATCAAAATGCTTTCTGAATTTCTATTAATCGGTTTTGCTAGCTCACCAGCATATTCTATGTAAGACTCCATTCTTAGAGTCACTCTCTAGTTTTAACAACCAGTAATCCTCATCCCAATTAAATGGTGAGGAGATAGGCTCAAGGGTAGTAAGTAACTGGTGGAAGATTTAAGAAGGGATGGCAGAGGTGTGGTATTTGAGCATAGGTCTTAATTTCTAAGTTAGCAATTGCCAGATTAGAGAGTAAGGGAACACAGAAGACAGCCTAAAACAAAAAGCACAGATTTGAGGAGAGTAAGCTGTTTCCTAAAATACTACCTAAATCCAGTCCTGCTAGGCCCAGTCCCTTGCCCAGCTAAAGGATTCCAACACAATACTGTTCTCACTCTTCATGGGATGCCTTTAAAGAGCTCCCAGAAAACAGCTCCCTGCTGTCGTCTCATGAATATCTAGCACAGTGCCTGGCACATTGTAGATGCTCAGTAAGTCTCTGTGAGTGAATGAAGTTACAACAGCACTTCCCAAGTTCATGCCTCACTAGTAATGGAAGAAGGGTTGCTACTAAATATAAATATAAATGTTTGGTGGTTATTACTACCACATTAGAGATGTGCAATGCACGTTAATGTTTTTAAAAAGTCCTTGGAAGAGAACTCTGCTGGACTTTGTTGAACCCAGGGGTGCCAAGTAGCATTTGGCTCAGAGTCTGAAGGTTGTCCAGTGATTTGAAGCAGGACAAACAGTCTGCTCTGAACACCTGGCTCCAGGCCTTCTGTACCTTGTCTCCAGCCTTGTCCTTCCAGCATCAATCCTTTCAAACATAAGTTCTTCAGTCTTGTTAAGAGGCAATGTTGGGGGTTTCAGAGCCTGCTGGGGCAGGAAAGGGGAGGGTAGTGGCAGTGGCAGAATCAGACCCACTGAGATGTTTGATGGGTAGATATGTCCTGCCAGTCCCTGGCGGTTCCATCCCCTCCGAGGCCCAGGCACATGAGTGAAGAGGCCAACGTGTGTATCGAGCCTAAGTGAGCCTTCAGATGATTCTAGCCCCAGCTGGTGTCTTAGAGCAACTGCGTGAGAGACCCCAGGTGAGAACCACCTTGTTGAGCCAGGCAGCCCAGAGAACTGTAAAAGATAATTGTTTTAAGCCATGTATTGTGTGTGAGAGAGACAGAAAGAGAATGAACATTAGTTTTATGGCCATTAGAAAAAGACTTCCAACTTTAATATGGTAGAAAGTGTCCTGGGTTACAAATGCTAGAGATGTGCACCTGCCTGCTTAGTAATATCCCATTTATAGCTCAACGAATATTGAGCACCTATCAGGGTCCTTTTCTGCGGATGAAGGGCTACTAAAACATTTCATGTCCTTGTTTCCATGGGGAACTTGATGCAGGACAGATCATTAGTAATCCAGCTACCTCTGTGCCCCAGAACCATTCAAACCTTGTCAGAAAATAGAGGAAACCAAAAACAGAAAAGCATTAACCAAGAAACAAAAAGGCAGAGCAACTCTTAACGGTGTCAGGGCTTAGCCATTCCATTGAGGGCTGAGGTTTTTTATAACTAATTAGGCTAAAAAAAAGATTTAAGACCAAGAGAAGGACAAGCCAGGGCTGAGGGGATTCCAGCAGGCGCTGTGGCCCGTTCCCAGCTTGAATGCAAACATTATGTTGTGTGTCTGGCATGAGACTATGAGGAAAATAGCCAACACTACACACACATCAGCTTTATGGAAAAATCAGGAAGCACATTTAGAAACATAAGGTATTTCCAGGGTTGGTCAAAGAACCTGCTGTGCCATCACTCCTTTGTCTTTGCTGCTGTGATTAAAAATGTTGACAAGTGTGAGTGGGTT